CAGACAGCTATTTCAGAAACCGTTTTGCATACATCACCGAACAATTGCCGAGTATTATTGGAAATACGAATCGGGCGTTGCGTGTGTGCTTCCGCCGGCGACATTTATGCGTGAAGACGGCGTTAAAGAACATTGTTGCTTGCGCCATTTGGGTGGAATCTGGATAACAAATGTGTTTTTCTTCTTTATTGTTTATTTAGGATGACAGGGCGCGTACATTGACTCGATGATGAGAATAATAATGACAATGAAGAAGAAAAAGAAGAAGGAAAAAAGGATGAATCTTTACTTCGTTATTAGCTTTGTTATTGTGTGAAGCGTTATTATTGTCGATGTTCTGTTACAATTGGTGTTTCAGTCATGATTACCCTATTACTATTACTATTACTATTGCCCTAATGCAGTTGTTACGGTTTTCCCTTCGATAATAGCATTTTGTATTATTGTCATCACCACTATCGTTATCATCATTATTATTATCCTCGTTAACACCGTTTTCATTAATATCAAATAGGAACATAAGCGTATATACAAAGTTCCAGCTATTAGTCATGGAACTGTAAGGTAATTTTTTTCCTGGGTTATTTTTAGGTTTAAAAGTAGTGCAACTCACGAGAGGAAGGAATGTGTTCTGGCTAAGAAGTTCTCTTCCGCATACTTTGCTTTCTCTTTCTCTCCTCTTCCACTTCATTCCACTTTATCTAATTTACCTTTCTCTCTCCCTCTCTCGTAATTGATTCTATTTTACCAGGTGTACTAACACACTTCTGTTGATAGCACTCTCTCTATCATCCTTTCTCTGTCTCACGTCTCTCCCTCTCTCTCTCTCCCTCTCCCTTTCCCTCCTTTCCCTTTCCCTCCCTTCCCCTCCCCCCCCCCCTCTCTCTCTCTCTCTCTCTCTCTCTCTCTCTCTCTCTCTCTCTCTCTCTCTCTCTCTCTCTCTCTCTCTCTCTCTCTCTCTCTCTCTCTCTCCCTCCCTCCATCGCCTTCCTTTCTTGTTCAAGTTACATAAATTCCTTTAAGAACAATTTCTTTTCTTCGCATCGCGTGATGTCATGGACGTTGCTTGTGGCCATTTTCATAAAGCAGTTTAGATTCCCTTGCACTTCCCTGCGTTCAATAGAGATAACCGAATTCTCATCTTCATTAATGTCAATCTTGCTTGATCATTGATGCAGATTGCTTGGTTCATGACGGAAGCTTGACTTTGGTTGCCCTTGTGTTCATAGTTGTAGTAGAAATACATGCTGATTATGATTAACTGACATTAATGCCAATGAAATCGCAGTTCTTCAGTAGATGGAAAAATAGGAATCATTTCGATGCATCAGTTGAAAAAAAGAAAAGAATATTGCTGCATTGCATTTCTTGATAATACAAGGATATTAAATGGCGTGGTGCATCTCCCTTTTTTTCTTCAAGTATCTGTTGATGTACTTATGCCAGTTAGATTTTCGATGAGGCTGTTCAGTGTATGATTAATATTCTCCTGTAGAGCTCTTATTGAATACGCAAAGCATCATAGCTCCAAAAACCATGTTAGGGTTCGCATAGTTCCCCCTAAAAAAAAGGAAGAAAAAAAGGAGAGTGAAAAAAGCCTGCGAAATTTTCATTCGCGGGTGCGTGAGAGCGGACACTCACCGTTAATATTTGATACACGAGAATTGAACGATCCCGTTAAACAAAACTGGAATTCGTAGGTTCATGCGACATAGCAAGAGGAGGTCCAAAATTTATAACAACCTTTGAGTAAGACGAGGCACGTAGAGTCCCCTTATAATGTTAGGCTTTTTTCAATAATGTTCGTCCTGTTGGAACAATTTTACGGCCCGAACGCACAAAAGATAAACAGGAAGTCCGCACGATTACTGTTATCGAATTTGTATCTATGTATATATGTTATAACTGTCATGTGATTGAAAATAATTGAAGGATTTGTTTTCCATTTATTGTCGTGATCATCAAAAACAGAAGCAGAATCTATCAATTACCAAGGGATGTGTTTTGAAACTACATGTATATACACACACACGCGGGCTAGTGTTATCCTTCACAAAACATGGTCTGAGAAACACACATGCATCGTTAATGAGGTGGTGGTTCTGTTTTGGGTAAGTGTTAGTCCTAAAGAAATGAACTGGATGTTTCTGTATCTTTGTAAAAGAGGAAAGGAGGAGGAAACAGAGACAGATGCGTGCGAAACGCACGCACGCATGCACGCACGCATGCAACACACACGCATCACACGCATGCACACACACGCACACACACACACACACACACGCACACACACACACACACGCACACACACACACACACACACACACACACACACACACACACACACACACACACAACACACAACACACACACACACACACACACACACACACACAAGCATACATATATTGTTGATTGCAATGGTAATAATCTTTAGCTTTTAGCATGCAGTGGTTTAAAACATTACTGATATAAAGAGAGATTGATGACATATGTAGATGATTCTTTTTTGTTATATATCCACGTTGACTGTAGTGAATATTGATGATTGAATAGTGGTGAATATGTATATGGATACTGAGTTATTGTGTGTTCAGAAGTTTGCATGCATAACTGGATGTTGAATGGCCGTGAAAAAGTCGAAAAGATTCAGTTTTTGAAAATCCCTACTTCCTCTCGCTCGCTCGCTCTGTCAGTCAGTCAGTCATCGCTCTCTCTCTCTCTCTCTCTCTCTCTCTCTCTCTCTCTCTCTCTCTCTCTCTCTCTCTCTCTCTCTCTCTCTCTCTCTCTCTCTCTCTCTCTCTCTCCTGCGCGCTTCCAGTGGATGGTAATCACGGCCATTCCTTGTACACAGGGGGAGATTTAGAAGCAAAATAAAATAGACAGTATGTTACAGCAAAGAATATCCATTGTAACAAATGGAATTGAAACTAAATCTTTAATCTCTCTCTCTCTCTCTCTCTCTCTCTCTCTCTCTCTCACACACACACACACACACACACACACACACACACACACACACACACACACACACACACACACACACACACACACACACACATTCACACTCACACTAACTCTCACTCATTCACTCACACATCCTCTTCCCCGAGCACAAACAGAAGCATTCTATCTCAATAAAAAGCTGCTGGGGTAGCAACACAAAGCCTCAACGAAGTGAGACTACAGGCTTGTCTGTGGACAAGAAGCAATAAATGCAGCATCCATATTGGGAACATCGGGTCCAATATGGTAGATCCAGCATGTGTCCCCACTGCATTCATTATGAGGTGTCGTCCTCATAACACCGGTTGTTGTTGATCTAGAAATGATCACGTCTCTGGATTGGAAAACGCATTGACTAGGAAAAATGGCATTTGACGTGCCCTTAAAGCGTTATTCATGACTGCCTGATATCACCTGCGTAAATCCAGCTTCGGACAAAATATTTTCTTACCACCCCCTTCCCACCATTTCCCCTTGCCCCTCCCCGTCTCTCCATTACCCCCTCCTCCCTTCCCCTATCTCCTTCACACCCCCTTAGGGTCGTTTCCTCCGAAGTGATTTATCGTTTACTCGACTTAAATAAATTTGGTTTATCCATTTTGACGTGTAATGGAAAGCCCATTTAGGAGGTTTGATACCGACGCACAATATTTCGTTCGGGGCTCGTGTTGGGCCAGTGCATAAAAATTCGATGAATGTGTCATTTTGCTTTCCCAAATATACCGAACTAAGCATTTTACGTATTCTGCAAAAAACCCTAATACCCAAGCTGCCTCCAGGATGTTCCCCGCTGAGAGGTAAACAAGAAAAATATGACCAGGCTTAAACAGGACACATCACACGGGGAGACGGACGGGGAAGAAGGAAAAGAAAGAGAGAAAAAAAGAGAAAGGGAAAATAGGAAGGACCAGAACGGAAACTAAGATGGAAGAGGTGAAAATAGGAAGAGAGGGAAGAGAAGAGAGGATAAAAGCAGAGGCGGAGCAGGGGGTACACACACACACACACACACAGAGAGAGGGAGAGGGAGAGGGGGGATTAGGGAGAGAGGGGGTGGGATGGAGGGAGTAAAAGACAGAGGAAGAGTGAAAGATGAAACAAGAGAGCGAAAACAAGAGACAAAAACAGAAAAAATAGGCATAAACAATGAAAGAGGGGCACACGGAGAGCAGATCTTTTTTAAAATCTATTCCCCAGCATTTTTTACACTCTTGGAATAAGGCGTATCTTATCTAAATGGTGTATGCGGTGTGCAGAAGCATAAATGGAACCGAGTTTTCAGATAACAACACCGCACAATTTGTTTACCTTTCAGAGACACCTGAACAGAGATCTGTATAATTACGAATTAAATGTTTTGGCTCTATATATAATGCCAGTGCCTTCCTGTTGGATAGCATTACTTCATAAAGTGACAAAATTATATTTTGCAGAGGTGAAGGGAACATTTGAGTGCATTTATGTTTATGGTGTGTTTTTTTATGCGTTCAAAACACACACACACACACACACACACACACACACACACACACACACACACACACACACACACACACACACACACACACACACTCTCTCTCTCTCTCTCTCTCTCTCTCTCTCTTCTCTCTCTCTCTCTCTCTCTCTCTCTCTCTCTCTCTCTCTCTCTCTCCTTCTTCTCTCTGTCTCGTCTAAAATATCTCACTCCATGTAAAAGGTAAGCCCTATATGTATCACCACCCACTATCCTTTATTTATATAATGACGTACATTTCAAAGGAATTACTTGTCGTCAAAACCTCGCATAAATCGACAAAGAAATATTAGCAATAGAAAAAAAGGTCTAAATCTAAACATCAATCATCGAGTAATATTCGTGAAAATTATGATTTCGTTTTCTCTCTGAAAAGGATGGTAACGCAAATATAAATTCATGAGGTGATTTTGTATTCATGACTATTTGTCTTTCGTCTTTTTGCTTAACAAAAAGCTTTTTTCATAATTGCATATTTGAT